TGTACATGCATGTGTGTGAGCACGTGTTCACGCACACATGAGTGCATGCACTGTGTGTGTGCACGTGTGACTGTGAGTGTGTGCACACACGTGTGAGTATCCATGTGAGTGTGTGTGTGGCTGGGGAAAGGCAGGCTGTGCAGACACCTCCTCCATCGTCCCTCTGGAGGACCCCTTGGTACAGAGAAGAGACTGAGGCCAGAGGAGGATGTGCCTTGCCCAGGTCACCTGCCCAACGATGGTGGGGTTGAGGCCTTGCTCTCAGCTTGGCTGTGCTGGGTCACACGGATGTGGCCCTGCCACCCCTGGCTCTGGAGCCGGCTGGGTGCTCCTGGGTCCTGCCATGGGATTCTGGACTGCTGAGGGGGCTCCCATGGGATTGTCCCTCTCAGGCCTACAGAGCGGCCCCTTCTGGGGTCAGCGTCCCCTTGCCCTTAGCACAGAGTTCGGGGGGCCAGTGGACACCTCTGCATCAGCACCTGGGGAAGGCTCAGGCTCCTCCTGCCATGCCCCGGCCCCAGACCCTGGATATCTCAAGCCATGGGATGGCCCACTCGTTCATAATCCAGGGCCACCTGCATTTGTGAGCACACACACAGGAACGGCGCAGCCTCATGCTCGGGGTGGGGCTCCCTCGGGGTTGAACGGGAGGACATACCTCTTCTACCTTCATACCGCGGCCCATGCCCAGGACCAGGGGGGGATAGATGTGAGCTTCCCTGAGCTCCCCAAGAGAGACGTGCTGCCCTGGTGGGCCCCGGTAGCCTCCATCAGTCCATCACAGGCTGGGGTCACCTGCTGCCCTCAGCTGGAGTGTGGGATGCTTCCTGCTTCGAGGAGGTCCTAAGAGTGTGAGGCACAGGCCAAGGGATGCACGTGCAGCATCCAGGCCTGGTGTCACTCGGCCCGCCCCAGTGGCTCCCCTCCGGGCTGTCGCTGCCACAGTTAGGGAGTCGGCCGGAGCCGGTCTCACGTGGCAGAGGCGATGGGGGAATTACAGCCCACAAAGGCTGACGGAGTCGGAGGGATGCGGAAAAGCAAAGGGCTTATTAAAACGCTGAAATTGGTTCTAAATGAGGTCAGCCGTCAATGCGCCTTGGAGGGAAGCCAGGCGCTGAGCACCATGAACAGAGCTCATTTCCTGACATGGTGGTGGTGGTGACACCCAGGTGCCGCCCCCAGCCCAGCCCACCCCTGCCTTGGGAGGGCAACTTGTACCCAAAACACCAGAGCAGAGCCAGCTGGGGTGGGGGTGGGATGGGAGCAGGGGAGAGGGTGCCGCCCCTCCCCCACCCCAGAACTGAACACGCCCCCCCCCCCCCA